CTGGCCTGTTGCTCTCTCTCGAACTTGTGTCCAGGTGATCTTACAGAATTTGACACCAGATGGGGAGCGTTCTGAAGAACTCCAGGGAGCCGCCAGAGGGCGCTGCAGGAGCTCTGTTTGGGATAAAAGAGCTCCGCAGAGGAGCAAGCCGGAGCCATGAGGCAAAGCCCGGACCAGCTCCTTGGGGCCAGTTCTCTGGAGTCTTTCCACCCTCAGTGAGGCCCCTGCTGGGGAGTTGGGGGTCACTGCCCAGTTTCAGGGTCAGGAGTGCACAGCTGGGGCATCCCAAGCCCCACGGGGCACAAAGGTAACAGTGGCCAGTTCGGGGGCTGCTTTTGCTCCAGAGGTCTTTGCTCCGGGCAGTTGGCGGGCACAGGAGGGAGGGCATGAGCACCGGCATCCCATAGGCGGTGTTGGGGGCCAGGCGCCCTCGGAGCTGCCGGCCCCTGTGTGCTGCTGTTCTCATCTTATTTCTCAGACCCCCTGAGCCCGGCTGCGGCACCGTGTGGCCTGGTCTGCCTGCAGGAAGCAACCTTGCAGCGAGCGGCGTTTGCACTGGCGTTGGGTCCCCGGAGCAGTGCAGGGAATGGGGAGCTGCCTCTGACAGGCTGCCAGTGCTGGCGCGTCCGTGGGCTCCTCAGGGGCGGTCACAGCCCCTACTCCCTGAGAGGAGCGCAGTAGCAGCGGGCCATGCACCCCGAGGCTGGGGTGTGTTGCGTGTGCTGTGGTCCATGTGGGACTCCTGGGCAGTGCCGGATCAGGGGCAGGAGCGGGCCAGGGTCCTCCAGGCTCGGCTGGAAGTTTGTGCGCCCAGGGGAGGAGCGGGCACAGGCGCCAGTGCAGGCTGGCGTGGGAGCGCTGTCCTCGGCAGTCAGTTGGGCAGTGCTGGAGTCACGCTCTTGCCTCAACTGCCCGTGAGGCGAAGCTCAGGTCTGGGGCTCACAGGGGGCTGGCCTGGACCATTGGGTGAGCCTTTCTCTCAGCTGCTTCCGGTCAGCGCCTGGAGTTTCACACACACACACCCACACCCTGACGTATACCTCCTACACGGGCACGGACACAGATCACAAACGCACAGCACAGGTGCATACACACACATATGACATATCCATACCACACAGCACATACAAATCACCCTCCCAGACCCGCAAATCACCCACCCACCCCAGCCACTGCACTGTTTTCTCTGAGTGAAGGCCCAGCTTGGTGACAAGCCCCAGGGGCCACTCCTCGTGGTCCAGTCCCAAACCTGGTGACCCATCCTTCTACCCAACATGGTTCACACCTGCTTGGTAGTGGAGTGTCTTTTAACTTTTAACCACATGTGCTTGTTAGAGCTTTGATTGTAAAGGGAACAAGATCCAGTCTCTGACCAAATGCTGCAGAGAGAGAGAGAGAGAGAGAGAGGGAGGCAGACAGACAGGCAGGCAGGCAGGCAGATCACAGCCATATCCCAGGCCGGATTCTCTGTTTTTTCTGTCCTGCTCTGTGTACCCATCAGACAGCAGAGTACCTGGAGCGTCTTATCTTGGTCGCACACATAAATGCGTTTGGTGAGTTATGCTTGATGTCAGTCCTCCAGCTTTTATGGAGGGTCGATACGAGAATCATCTGGTTGAACAACATTTTGGTGTCTTCGTAAAACTGCAGGTGAAGACATCGCTCACGGTGTCACTCAGTGTCCTTTCTACGAGGATCCACACGATAAATTCTGGCTTGTGTTTAGTTCCAGGAAGAAATTCTATTTCTGCAGATAAATTAGTTAGTATGCTTCCTGCTGTCAGAAAATGAAAACTATGGAACTGTGGGTGCTTCTCGGTTCTGCTCAGTGGCTAGACAAGGGCAAACCGAATTTATGGCCTGTGTGTGCAATTTGCTCAGCCGTGGGGTCCAGAAGCACTTACTCCTTCTCTTTCTTTTAAACGGACTTATTTTATTTTATGGTCAAATGTCTCATTGTACTCGTGCACGATGTGTGAGTCTGCAAGCCGCTTGGGAGGCATTCGTTTGCCCATTGACTTGGCCTATTTATTGCTCGCGCTGACTGCTGGGGCTACGAAGATGAATCCGGCTGCACCTGGCTTTCCGGGAGAGAAGGATGGGGAGCTTCAGTGTGGAGGTGGCTTGGGGAGAAGTCATCGCCACAGGAGGCTGGAGCCCGAGCAGCGCCCAGGCCGGGAGGGAGAGCGGCGTGGGCGAGCGGCTCAGGGATGGCGTCATGGTGGCGGGGTTGGGGTGGAACGGGCTTTGTGGCCACATGGGGAAAGGAAGCTCCTCGTTTAGGTCTGGAATTTGAGGAAGGCGTTATCTGGGTCTGTTCTGTCCGCTCGTCCTGGTTAGATGCAGACCCTGAGGGCAGGCCCTGTGCCGAGGCCCTGTGTGGACTCCAAACGCTGGGCAGTATGCCCTGGGCAGGGTGGCGCGGTGGCTGCCGATGGGCTGCAGAGCAAGGCGCTGGCTTCGCACCCTTCACTGAGCAAGGCCAGGTGGGGCTCCCGCACCCTCTGGGCCTGAGCTTCGAGGTGAGGGGAAAGAATGGTGGTGTCTACTTCGCGCAGAGGTTGCGAGCACTGAGAAGAACATGCACACGGAGCGCTCCTAGTCCTGCCTGGCCCACAGTGAAACAGTTAAGAAACGTTTGCTGATCGCCTTGACGGGATCCTGGACGGAGCGCAGCAGGGCAGTATGGATGCAACGGATGCAGCAGAGCACCCTCGGCTGTCCATTCCACTCGATGCCTGTGTTAAAAACAATTATTCTCTTGTTCCCCGAGCTGGTGTGGGACTCGGCCCTCCCGGTCCATCAGTACCTTCTGCTTGGTGAAGATGAGCTCAGAGCTGGGCACAGACTGTCTATTAAAGGGCGACCCGGCTCTGCCTGGGTACCTGGGAAGCTCACAGGGTTCCCTGCGGCTCCTTCTGCCTCATCCCTGTCTTTGTTCATTTCCCTGCCCACTGCTTTTGAAAAGGACCCAGGCTCAGTAGATGCTTGTGTGTCTCATGGACTGTGGGCAGGTGGTAAATGAGGAAAGTGCGGTGATCTAGATTTTCAGCCGGGAAAGGTAGCAGAAATCCTTCTCTCTCTCTTTGTCTCTCTCTGTCTCTCTCTCTCACACACACACACACACACACACACACACACACGCCGCACCGGCCTTGAAAGGGGTACTGTCTGTGTGGCAGTGGCGTGGTGGCAAGTCCTCAGCAGCCGCTCTCTGAAACAAAAGTCTGGATTTATAACGTTTGCCAGTGTCCGCGGTGCACATTCTCCCACCGTGGCCGATTTCAAGTTCTGAGTGTGACGGCGCTGGAACTCGGGAAGGGACACGCAGTGCACCCCATTATACGTCCCCACCCTGCGGATACAGAGAAGGGCGCTAACTCCAAGAACGTCGATGATAGCGAAATGTAGCAAAGTAATTAGGAAGCGACGCATGTTGAGTATTTGTTACCATTCTTACTTACGAGCTTATGTAATTTGGTTTTTCATAACGACTGTGTTTAATTGTGGCTCCCTAAATTCCCGGAATGTTCAGAGTCAACTCTTCTACTGTGCGATGAGCTGGCTGCAGCTCACCCCTGCGTATGGCTCCCAGCACCACATGCTGCCCTCTTCTCCCTTGATCACTGCCCCTTGGACCCTGTGGGGCGTGGGGCTGTCTCTGCACGGGTTGCTGGGCACACATCTGCTATACACAAGGATACGTGCTTATGATACTAGGTGGCGACCTCTCCGTCCTGGACCCGGACATCTTCCCTGCTGATCCCGGCTCCCAGCCCCACCACTCCTACGTGGTGAACATCAGGTGGGGTGAAAAAAGAGAGAGTAACAAGGGGGATGCTGGAAGTGGAGGGCAGGGAAAGTGAAGAGAGAAAACAAAGGGAACAGAACAAGGAGAGGACAGGAGTGCGTGAGAAAGACACAGAAGTGGGATATCACACCCAGTCCCGCTCTATTCCCGCCTCTGGAGCCCAGTGGCGGAGGCCAGGCTGCCCCGGGCTTCAGCCCCGCTGCCAGAAGCAGGATGAGGGAGGGGCGGGAGACAGCTGCATAAACAAACAGTCCGAAGCACAGAGCGGTCCTCCTCCATCTGCAGTGTGGTCGCCCGGGACGCAGGGGCACTGGGGGCTCCAGATCCCACCAGACAGCCTCCTGAGGCTCTGGGGAGCCATCCTGGCCTTTAACTCCCAGATGGCAGCTGGGAGACATTAACACTTGGACTCTAATTGGGATACAGCCTGCTTTTAAAATAAATAGGTATTTCCAACGCCCTCAGTGAGCCTTCCAGCCACAGTGCTTCCCTTTGAAGTGTGCAGATTACTTCAGGCTCAGGGGGCGGCGACCCTCCTGCCTGTTGCAGTGGATGCCAGTGCTGGTGTTGATGCTGAAGAAGCTCCCGGAAAGGAGTGGAGGGTTATTCAGACAGAGACTGGTGACTGGGAGCACACAGCCTCTCTCCAAGGGACCAGGCAGTGCCTGTCCCGACGGAATGAATCAGCCCAGGGGCAGAGAGGACGGGACACCCTCGCCCTGAAAGCCAGGGGCACGCTGGCCAGGCCGCGGGTAGAAACTGGCCTTGGAGCCGAGCAGCTTTTCACATCAGGGAGCCAGTGTCTTGCAGGTGAGAGAAGAGACCGGATGTTGGAGGGCCCAGGGGCAGCCCTCGGGGATGACTCTACCCCCAGTGACCTGCCCAGGTGAGTGTGGGGTCAGACCTGGAGGCCCCAAAGGCACCTGGTATGACTTCCCAGAGAAGGCGCATGGCACAGTGTCACCTGTGGATGTGTGCCATGCCCCTGCAAAGGAGAGCACACTCATCTGACCCCTTAGTCCCAGGGCGGGCAGTGTGGCTTGGGCTCTCATTGTCCTCTGAGTTACTGTTCCTGAAAGTGAATAACAAGCCCTCCTTTGCCTTCCAGGGCCTCCCTGGATCACCTTGAGGCCAGCACGTCTCTCATGTTCCCCGGCCCCTCCTCCTGCAAGCTGGGCCTGGTACTCACCTAGGGCTACCTGCTGCATGTGCCGCTGCGTGATGGCGTCCTTCAGGCGACCTGCCCAAGACAGAGGAAATTACCAGTGAGTTTCCAGCGGATGAGGGGGGGCAGACCTTGCCTTGGAAGCGCGTGGCCAGCTAAGGAGAAGGGGATCAAGGGAGTCACACACGGTAGTGCCCAGCGAGGCCCCTTCCATGGCCCAGCGTCCTGGAGAGTGCACGGTTCACCTTTGGGTTCTGTCACCTCGGGGTTCAAGAGTTCTGGGATCTTAGTTGCTCACTCGTCACCTTAGCCAGGACCCCACTCTCTTAAATAGTTTTTTCCCATTGTTATCAAAGATCGGGGAGGCAGGATATGGTCTTTTAATAACTCACAGGGTCACTGTGAAATCCACTTCTTTCTTGAAGCTATCTGAAACTGTGTTCAATGACAAAGGCAGTAGTTTTCATTGATAGTAATCTCAGCTGCTGATCATTTGGCATGAGATTTATTCCTGGTTGATGAATAAAGCTGTAGTGTGGAGTTCAAGGGAGAGGATGCTGAGATTGTGGGTGGTGTTTATTACAGCGCTTCCTCCATGAGAAACATTAGCAAAATGGAATATATTTGGCAAAGGGAGGGGGCATCAGAAGTCATGTCATGTGAGAAACATTTGAGGTGACCTGAGATACATAAACGGGGAAGGAAAGACCTGCAGGGAAGGGAGGTGCAGAGATGACGGCTGTCTTTGGATATCTGAATGGCTGGCGTTGTGTTCACAGTGTAGCCCAGGTCAGCCTTGAACTTGCAGTGACCCTCTTGCCTCAGCCTTCTGAGTGCTGGGACTATGGGCATGTGCCATCACATCTGGCTGAGAATAGATTTATTTTTGTCTTAGTCTGAGGGCAGAGGTCAAGCCAAGGAAGGCCGGCCGGGTCTCCGAGTGGGGCGGAAGCATCTTACTGCGGGCCCTGGCCCTGAGTAGATAAAATCCTCTCAAAGTGGCCTCAGTTTGGCAGGCAGCAACCCCCGCCCCCATGAGTGCTGTGCCGAAGCCACATGGCCGCGTGTAGGGCTGTCAGGGTGGGCTCTCGTGCCCAGGGAGGGCTAGGGATGCGGTCACCTCCAGGCTCCTTCGTCTCTAAGCTCTGTGGTTTTGCATGTGAGAGATGTGAAACCAAAGCCCTGGGTTTTACGGCTGGGACTCAGACATTTGTGGAAATGTCAGTGCTGTCTGCCCGCCTGTCCCATGTGGGGGGTGTGGGAATGTCAGAGCCTGGGAATGTCACCGGTCCTTTGCCTAATGCAGATCTTTCCTCTTGGAAGTACATTCTCCAGAGCTTGCTTGGAGGTTCTAGCAGGGGAGTGCAGCTACTCGTACACCCTTAACCTAGGAATGCTCCTCTGTCTCGGTGGTCGTCCTCTTCGACTGAGCACGCAGCTTCAGGAGGGATGCACATGGAGCGTCTAGGGAGGAAGGGGACACTCGCGTAGCCAGCCTGATCAGCCAAATGTACTCTGGTAATCAATGGGGTGACAGATATCACAGCCATCGCCCTCACATCCCGGAAGTACATTCTCAACCTCCAAGGCCAGGGCTGAACCGAGTGTCCCAAGGAGGAGGAGACCATGAAGCAGTCCCAGGAGACCCTGTCCTTCCTGCAAGCTCCAGGGCGTTAGGCCTGGGAGGGGTGGCGCAGGTCACTCAGGTTTCCCACCACTGCGGGACTTCCTTCTCCAGAAGGCAGTCGGCCTTTCCTCCCGACGTGTGTGCACCCGGGCTGTCCTGTAGATGGAGTCACCTAGAAGGAATTGCTGCTGTGACTTCTGGGTACCGAGCCTTCTCGGTCCTCAGGATCAGCATGGAAGAGGACCCTCCCTCGATGGCGGGTGGGCCCTTCACATGTTGGACGGTGCTCTCTCGGCCCAGGAGCCTTGTCTTCCACATGCCATTGGCTGCGGTGAGGCCTCCTGCTTCCCATGTGCCCCTCACCCCGATTTTGCACAGAGATGAAGCCAGGAGTTGGGTCTAAGTAACAGCTGCTCTCCGATTCTGAATGGGGCTGAGTGGGAGCTTCGGAGTGTGTCCAGAGGGAGTCGGGCAGGTAGGAGCTGGCTCAGTGGTCGTTACCCTGAGCCGGGAGCCAAGAGGACATGACCTGACCCCTGGGCCAGCCATGGTCACATGACCTCAGCTTTATGGTCCCCACCAGTGGCCTAGCACAGCTGGGAACGTAAGGTTCAGGCCAGGCTGAGACGCCAATCTGCATCAAGCGTGGCTGAATGGGATTTTCAAAAAGCACAGCTGGAGGTTTCCAGCCCGCCCATGGCCCTTCAACACCCTCCAAAGTCCCCGCCCTCCTCCTACTTAGAATTAGGTGCGACAATTGCTTCGGCCTAACTCTTGGCTTCCTCTCTATACATAAGCCCCTTCAGTGGGGATGCGTGGGAGGGAGGAGCGGAGCCGCCAGGCCCTCACCCTAGACGACACACTGTGGGAGGTCATGAAGGACGGAGGGCTGAGGCACGTTGGTGCCCTTCCTGTTTCTTCAGTGGGTACCAAGGGCCTGTTACACGCCTGGGAACTGTCTTCCTGAAGTGCCCGGACGGTGACCTCTCCCTTAGAGCACACACAGGGCGGAAGGAACCTGCCTGGACAACCGCGTCCCCACAGCCGGGCTCCCTGACCTCGTGCCTGGCCACGGCCTCCCTGCTACGGGCCTCCCAGTTTGGGCCTTACCCACGGTTAATGGCTTCCCTCGCCCTTGCTGGAAAGACTGTTCCCCAAACCCTCAGAAGCTTTTCTGAATGAGAGGTTTGAGGACTCTCCATAGCCCCTAGCTTGCTGATGACAATAAAGAGGATTTCGCCAGGACCGGGAGCTCTGTAAACTCCACAGATCTAAACCCTCTCGGAGCAGTGAGGCATCCGTGGGAGACGGAAGGCAGGTCTTTGTCGTGGTGCACACTGATAAAGGTAGTTTTACAGTGAAGTCAGAATGCTTAGTTTTGGCGAATTGACTAACATCTCCCACCATATGGCATTTTTTCCTTTTTTTGTGATATCCCCCAACAAGCTTCCAAAAATAGCCTTGTGCCTGATCCCTGATTGCATTTTCCGGCAGAGTTGTTCTTCAGCGAAGATAACAGTTTCTAATCTGCTGGATCTTGCAGCTCCACAGGTTTTGGCAGAGGACGGAGGTGAGGAGGGTTGCAGAACTCACTCAGCATGCGGCTTGCTGTCATTACCGCGGTGATAAATTTGCTGGTTTTGGCCTGGGTTTCTGGACACATCCCCATCCAGAGGTATGGAAAAGAGATGAAACGGAAATAGAGAACTCCCAGCCTGAGGCAGGAGACAGTCTGCGAGGAAAGCGGGGAGCCCAAACTGCGGGCAAAGGCCAGAGGAACGGGGGAAGAAGGAGGGCTCTGCCCGTAGGTAATTAGGAATTTTCCCCCTGGTACCTTACAACAACAGTGCATGCTAGGAACACCTTCTCCCCTTTTCAATCTAGTTGTGGATGGAGTGGGTGGCAGCCGGGGCAGTGGGGTCTCCTAGGAGCACCCCGGGGCAGATGTGTGGCCGTGACCACCAACCCGAGCAGGGCACATGCAGCGGGTGTGTGCAGGCGTATGGCTTCCTGTCACTGAGTAGTCTGCAGGTGTATTGCTAGGTGGAGGCAGAGCTGATCCCATGTATTGATAATCAGTTTTGGGGATACGACACTTTCTTTAAACTCCACACTGTTCTTCTGTGTGTGTGTGTCAGGATGAGATCGTGCACCAAAGGAGAGCCACTTGGCTGGCCCAGAGGAGAGCTTGCTACTGCAGTGTGTGTGTCACTACCAAGCAATACACACTTATCACTTGCCTACTGTACAGTAGGTTTTAAGTGCTGTGGAATATACTAACTGGCAGGAAGTTAGCACACCACCAGGAACAATTCCAGGATCAGCAAATAGGTGGCCTGCAAGATCTTTTTCTTGGTAATGGGAACCAAACTCATGACTGTGTGCTTGCCAGGCACGAGCTGTGCTGCTGAGCTAAATCCCTGGCCCCAAGCTCTTTGTTTTAAATGCTAGACCCATGGCTGACCTTGCTCTACCATCATGGTTAGTGTGTTAGTTTGCTGTGTTACTGTAATGAAACACCCAAGAAAGGCTGACTCGATAAAGGCAAGAGGTTCCTTTAGCTCACAGTTTTGGAGGCTGAAGGTCCGAACAGCATGGTGTAGCTTCTGGCAAGGGTCTCCTGGCTGCAACAGTGCGAGGGTGTGGGAAGGGGACATCACATTGCACAGCAGGAAGCTGAGAGAAGCCTGGGTCCCATATCCTTTCTGAGGGAGTGGCCTGAGGACCTAAGGACTTCCTGTTAGGTCCCACCTTTTAACATTTCCTGAAGACCAAGCCACTAATATGTGAGCTTTGAGGTATACATTTATACCGTATCTACCCACAACATCTGGTTTGCTTTTCTGCTGAGTCTGAGCTTAACTCTTCAACATGTACACCAGGCAGCTAGAACCAACCACTTGGAGTTGCCATTCAGTTATACTAGGAAATAATTACAAATGTAGAGGTAGCCAGGGGTGACTTCAGATGCCAGCTCTCCTACCTGTTAGGTGGGTGAGCTACTGAACTACTCAAAGCCTCAATGTCATCACTCGAAAATTGAGAATAATAATATAACCACAATAACATCTGCCTTACCAGGTCTCAAGATGCTTAGGAGGAGGCATCTGTGATATGCCACACAACTTTTCAGACACTGAAAGGATACCACATTATTAGGGTGACAGGCTGTGAAGGCCAAGCTGCTAACATCACTTTAATCGTAGGGGTTATGTTTAGAGGGGGGGAAGGTGGCTAGGAAACACAGCATTATCAGAGGTGGACTGAAGTAGCTTCAGGAGGAGCAGGGTGTTGGGGTGAGCGGTGGAGGAGCGTTCCAGCCAGAGAGCTGCTGGGGGCAGCAGGGCACAGCAGCCAGTCAGACACAGGTGGGACTGGGCCTGGTGGGAAAGCTAAGGGTCTGAGTGGTGTTTGTCCTGGATCCTGGGCTCCTAGGCAACTGCTAGGG